TTCAAAAAAGTCTTTGTAAAAATATATGTAATAAATATAATTGTAGTAATTAGCTAATTACGGCGACATGCTTTAGTATTGCGTATATAATTAATGTGCTTGACCTACCTTTTGGTGAAATTTTATCTTCATAAGCTATGTCACCAACATAATAATTTGCCAATAAATCATGAGTACTTTCCGGGTGGAAAGCATGAAATACATCTAGAATTATATATAACGATAACGTTAAATAATTTATTATTGTACACATGATATATACTATAATCACGTGGTTACCTGTTGCATCCTTTCCAATATGTGTCAAAATCGGGGCACCACCAGGATGATCAGGCACAAAATCTTTTATATCATAGACTTTGTTATCAATAATTATATACCATGGTTGGTCTTTGGAATATTTTGTGCCGTTGATACTTCTTTGAATAACTTTTCTTGAATTTATTACATCATCCCTACGAAATGTTCTAATTCCTGAAATTACAAAATTTTTTAATTAACATCGGCAAGTTTTCAAGATCATTTAAAAAGAATTCCCTTGATAGTAACTAAAAGACTAACCTTCAAAATCCTGGTCGGAGCTTGAACGAGGAGCCATAATGAACAAATGAGTACAATAAAATGAGTGTCAAAAAAAGAAAAAAAAAATTTTTTTACATGCACATAAGACACTTTTTTTGTTATTTTTATAAGGTTTCATAAAATAAAACCGGCAAGGAAAAAGAATGGGGTGAAGAAAAAAACAATAGACATTTTTGACACGGAAATCAATTTTTTTTATTATGTATTATCTTGAATTAAGTAGCACTCAAACTAATCAATTTTTTTTATCCAAAACAATCTTATCCACACATGATACACACGCCAAACATAAACCAGTAATCTCCGGAAATGGTGATGCATACTAACAAACTCCCCAAAAAAATTTATTAGTCGATTGCGCAAAAGTGTCAATTTTGATGGATCTACAATATATACTTAATTAGTACTATAAATTAATTTTAACCTAATCAATATTGATACTTTATGTTGGACATTGTATTCGCCCCAAATAATATATCTTATCCAACTGTGGTCGGGTTGATCATTTCAAGCTGAATATGATGAACAATATTGTATAATTTTTATATGAATACTGATTGCAATACTATTATCTGTTATCTATCAATCATATATATCCAAAATACAATATGCTAAAACGTTAACTGTATTACGATAAATAATCCGATGATTGGCTAAATCTAAATGATCAATACTCTAATTTATACAACAATATATTTCTGTTTTAACCTCGTGAAGTATCGGTATACTCAAGAGAAAAAGTTTTAAATATAGAAATAGTGGAAAATGACCAGTGGATTTGTGAATTTATTAATCCGGTTAACAAACATTTGCCTCGAACTTTTTTGCGCTGGTTTATCAAAACTTTATCTATTAAAGTAGAATTATTGTTCATATGTACTTTTTGCTATTTTCGACACTAACTATTATCATTAGAAGCTTGAACAATAATTTTTTTGGCAACATATTATAATCTTACCTTGACAAATTGTATAACAAATGGAAATTTATAAATACATAAATAATTGATAGATAGATAGCCAGATGATATTATTTTTTGTATTTACAAAACTTTCAATATGAACCGTATAGAATCGATAGTATTACTACTCTATTGTATATTATATTCCGCGTCATTTTTCGATTTATGTCAATTATTAATTGACATGCCATTAATAAATGGGTTCTTTCACGGTAAAACCATGCTTAGAGTATCTAATTTTATATACTCTAAGCATGGTTTTTGCTGTGAAAGAATCCATATTTTGTCTCAAATCGGTATGTATTTACCAATTAATAAAAAAAATTATGCTGCTGTAAAAAAAAAAAAAGGATTATTATAGGGATTTTTGCTTCACATTCTTAACATACCGAATTATTTTTTCTGCAAAAGTATACTTAGTGCCGCAATTCGTTTTTTCGGCCCGTATTCGGTTGTTTGATGTGCTGCACAAATTACTTTTCAAAATTTTTTAATACTGCAAACTTGAATTTCTAAATTAATTTCATTTTTGCTTAAGTATGTGCAGCTCTTCTATCGTATCGATACGGAAAATTTAAATATTAACCACCCACGATTTGAACGTTGAGTTACACTCGTTATAGCGACTCCCTATCTATCAATTTCGCTTATTTTTCTTTTGTTGATGAAGGTCTCTGATATCCGATCAAAAGTCTAGTCGAAGCTATATCCTTGTTAATACACGTCGATGAAGATCGATTCAAATATAATGAAAAAACCTAATATAAAGAATTACTTCTTATCGCTATGAATTGTCAGTAGTATGGTGCCTTGTATTAAAAGGGTCCATTTTGACAAGTTTTTTTATCTGATTTTTGAATAGATACGTATTTAACTAACGGAAGCTATTTTTCAGGGTTTAAATTAAAGGATCTGCAAGTTGCAGCACATATAAATTTATGGCGATCTACAAATTTTGTTATTTCTTCCTTTTACGCCAAAAATTTTTGAAGTATCTTATCATTTGTCGGAAGTTGGATTTTAGTTTTTGTATTTATCATTTCAGCACAAGCGATGTGTGGATTATTATTGGCTTTGTGTTTTTCATTAAATCATAATGGAATGAAAGTATTGGATGAAGATGAAACGATGAAAACTGATTTCTTCGTTGAACAAGTTATTACCGGGAGAGACGTTACTGCAAATAGTCTAATGGGTCGTTGGTTTGTAGAATGGTTTACGGGTGGATTAAATTATCAAATCGAACATCATGTAAGTACAATTATCCGGCAGCTTACTATGATATTGCTACCAAAATAACTCGAGTTATTTGGCAGATGACGTATCACTACCAAAATTCGAGTCATTTAGAAGCACAATCGTTGTAAACCGCCGGATAAACCCGTTATTGTATGCTACGCTAGCCAATAACTCCTAATGAATTATTTTACAAATAATTCTCGTTATTGGCTGCTTCGCATCCAATAACTATATTTTATTCTATTAGTCTTTTTTTGTAATCGTTTTTAACTCTTTTTTTTTTTCTTGAACGACATTAGATATTTCCAACTATGCCGCGTCATTCTTACCATAAAATTTCATCAATCATTGAATCTTTATGTGCAGAATACAATATACGTTACCATAAAACTACGTTCATTGAAGGTACAATGGAAGTTTTTAATAGATTAGGTCAAGTTTCACATGCAAATAAGAAATTGAATTAAAATAATACTAAACCGAAATTACACGAAACCAAATTAGCAATTACATATATTAAAGTATAATTCACTAAAATAATCACGTTTTTAGTTTTATTGTTTAATAAAGATTCCATAGCACATACAATGATTAAAATTAAACTAAATTATACATTGTTTACCTCTGCATCTATGATGTCAACTGTCAATATTGACAAATTTTCATATTTTATAAAAGTTTGACAGTTATCTCTCTATACCAAATTGAATTCTTTTTGTTCATTTTTTATACAGTAATGAATTTTCTTTATATAGATTCAAAATAATAAAATTGACAAATCATATTTGCGTACGTGATTATGCGCGGCATTTCTGTTTCAACTTGATCAAATTACTTTTAGCCAATTGTATCATAATTATGATATAGCTTTCCAATGTGGCGCGTAGTGAGCTAATGACCTGGTTGGAAACTGCCCTTGAACAAAGTGAGGATTCTCGTTACTGCAACAAAAAAAAACATAACTCTGGATCTTTATTTTTTTACTGGTATCTCATTACTGAACTAGTTATTCTGAAGATTCTGAATTGTTATCGCTATAGAGTAAAATTATCATGTACGTACATATATAACAGATTCTTGTATATGTTGCTGCATTTCTATTTTGTCAATACGCGAAATAACGCCCATGGGCGTTATTTAAAATAACAGCCCGAATTAAGCTTAATTTAGGTCAAGATTTGAAATTACACCCCTGCGCGTTATTTCGCGACAATACGGTATATTATCGTTTGGCTATTGACAGAATTAACATAAACTGACTTCAAGATGCTTGCAAAAGAATTGGAATACCTAATTCAGCATTCCAAACATTCATACTAATTGCCAAGTTACCGTTATTACTGCGTTAAATCTTTAAATACTTGGATGTAACTCGCGTATACACATTTAAGAAATGATGTGCTGTTTCTTTTATCTGTTTCTTTTATCTGTTTCTTTTATCTGTTTCTTTTATCTGTTTATATAAGCTGAGTTTCTAAGACTAAAATCCAAATAAAATCTGCTCAATCTGAAATGTTAGTTACGATTGTCTTAAACCACATCGATTGGTTCAAAATCACGGTCTACAGTTTAGAATCAATTTAATGAAAAATATAAAATAAAAAAAAATAAACATTTATAACATCGGACCATTTATCAATAACGGCATACAATGTATCAATCATTTGTATATACTTCAATTATACTTTATAGCATGGGATAAACTTGGTAAAATCATCGATTTCCAGGTGAAGAGCAGTTTGATTTTAAAAGAAACGGAATTTTGATATGCTAATTTACTACTAACTGCTAATATATTTTGGATAATTTAACTATAAAAATAATTTCCTTAATAAAAAAAATTTTAAAATCAAATAATTTTGAAAATTTTATAATAGTATAACCTTAGAATATTGTATAAGATTTTAATAATTTTAGACCTATTAGAATTATTATAAAAAATTGGGTTGATAATTAAATTATTTAAATAAATCAAAGGTTATTTACTATTAAGATTTATATATTTAATAACAACCATTTTTATAAAACGTAGATATAGTAGTTTTGCACCTATTATATTTTTTTATCTATTTTTATAAGTTTTTATAAGTTTTGTATATAAAATTTGGTTCTACCCTGAAATCCCGAAAGACAGATTCCCAAAAAAGACATAATACCGACAAAGTTAGCCAGTATTGGTTATAATGCTGGCCA